TTTTAAAGAGGGTTCTCTTAGTAAACATGTTCTTAGCAGCACCTAGGTCCCGCAGAGAACTGGGTCCGAACCTGCGGTCAAGGAGGGGCAGTCTGTAAAGGCTAGGAGGGGAGAAGGAAGCGAAAGAGAAGGAGGAAGGTCGTCGCGCGCTTGGGCGCGTTTAGTCAACCTGGTGGCGCCGAAGAAAGAACTGTTGGCGACGCCTGTGAGTCGGAGTAACCTGCGAGTTGGAATTGTCGAGCGTTTCGAATTAGCGAAGAAAGAGAAAGAGAAAAGCGAATCCCAACGCGCGAACGCTCGCTCGGCAAGCTACTTTCGAGTGCAGAGTGTTTCGAATTTGAGAAACTCGGTGTGTTCGAGGTACCGCGGGCGGGTGCGCGCGTTTTGTGAATCATTCTTGTAACAGGTGGGACGAGATGGTGGCCAAAGATCCGAAGATGGTTACCGGGATGGAGCTGATGAATCCGTATGAAAAACCACCGAGCATGTCGGTCAGCCAGTCTATGAAGACCTTTCTATACAATCGCGAGACCGGCGCGTTTATGGGCAGGACTGCCAGTAGTTGGGGTAAGCGCGGTGTTGCCAGCTTTAGGATTTCTTCCATGCGATATGGAAGAAATTATGTGATAGCTATCATAGGAGTTATGATGCGATTTAACAGAGTATCGACTATCGCTAACTCGAAATCGGATACCTGTCGATATTGTTTGATTTTTTTTCTCCAAGTAGACACACCTGGCATCGTTTCTGCGAAAAACGCGGCGTCACTTAATTTTAAAGCGTCTCGAACATTTTCACACTCTCACTGAAGAAGATCCGCCTGCTGACGTTACGTTTAAAAAATTTCGAAGTTTGCAATTTTTTTTCTTACACAGAAGTCGATTTAATTCGCCATTGTTATTCGACCGATTGCGCACCAATTATTTAATCAACTTCATTATTCTATTGTCTGGGAAAGTATCGATACTAATCGTTATGATGCTTTCCATCCTTTCCAACGAATATTTTTGAAACATTTGTATTGGTAGAAAATAAAAAAAAATAAACAAGTTATATTTTTTATGTACTATACATATATCTAATTATCGCAAACATTTCTAATACTATTGAAAGGAAGTACACATGTATGTAGGGCGTGTCAGTCGGGTTTTCTTTATAGATTTTTAAATATTAATACATCAATTAGCAAAATTAATTTTAGCAAACTTGGAGTTTTCTAGAGTTGACTATTTTTAATAAAAAAATGATTATACACTTTCTTTTTTTGTATCTATATAAAAATAAAAGATAAAAATTAATTAAAAAAATAATTTTATGTACTTCGTGACACTCCTTTTTCTTTCGTTTTTTAACACACCTTGGGTGACTCATCCTCAGAGCAATGTTTAAACAACTGACATTCTCATTTAAAAAGTTCAATCAATATGAAAAAAATTGTGAGTCAATTTCAAGGTTTAGAATACATTCAAATAGTTTTTAATTGAGATTTCATTATAATTTTTGTGAAAAAATTCTTGAGTTCAATGAATAGAGAAAAAAACGAGTAAAATCTTTGAAAAATTAAAACTTTTAAAAAATTTAATATTAAAAATTAAAAATTAAGCAAATTATAGACTTTAAATAGACAAATGCTATATAATCATAATGGTGTAAGCAATGATTTAAATATTTAGATTTAAATAAAAATTGACGTAAAGTTTAATATAATAATCGATTTTCTTTAGTCAGCTGATTCTTGTCCACTAATTGATTTATATTTATTTATACAAATTCTTTTCTTACAATATTATTTAAAATATTATAACGTTTTCAACATTTTTTAAATTTTGACATAATTATTTAAAATTTTATTATTTTATTTTGCATTATACATAAATATAAATTTAGCTCAATTCATTACGATACCATCTAAATAAATTATTAGCTTTACGTTTTTTTTTTTAAGAAATAAAACATTTTTAGATTATTCTTGTGAGTATGCTGCACATTAAACATTACTTTGTTGAGTCAGCTTGTGATAATAATTGAATAAATGAGGATATGTGCCTGTTATAAGTGACACTGCGCGCTAATGATATCTCACATTAAAATTAAGTGTTACATTAAACAAGACTATAATTGTTTCTATTTTAAAAAATTGAGGGTAAAATAATTATATATTTGTCAGTTTTAAATAAATATTTTTCTATTATGACTGAAAGAATTAAACATAAAGTTATTAGTATTTTTGATTTTATGGTAAAGTTACAAAATAGATAGAATTTTTTAATTCCAGAATTGATTTTCAGATCAGAAATGTTATTAGTTTGGCATTTTAATGATAATTAATATAATTTTTAAAAAACCCGGTGAAAAAATATACGTAAATTAAAAATTAGTACACGAATGTAGAAAATATTTTAGAATATGTATACAATTAAATAAACTACAAAGTACTGTACGTATACATTATTAAAAAAAAAAACGTTTGAATTATTCTAAAAAAGAGAGTGAGATAATATATATGCAAAATTCTTACTTATACGTAAAAAACTACTACGGAAAATTACTCAAGATCTCATGTTCCAAGAATACTCTATAATGACATGTAAAATTAATTATATCAGATAACTTGTAATAATGTAAAGTGATTTATATAAATTATATATATAAGAAATATAAAATTACAATAATGAAATATAAAAAATAATTATTTACTTTACTTTAATCATAGATTTGATCTTGGATTAATAGACTTTTCAAAACTTTTTATATTTATAATTTAGAAATATCCTCAGTAGATAATAATATTATACAATAATGATACAATAGATTATACTTTGATTTATAAACTAATGATAGGTTATAAACTAATAATAGGTCTTTGTATGAATTTTCTGTACGAAAATTTCTGTTTGTGTTATTTTCTACATACTACAATTTCTAGTTATTTTAACAACTATTATTTTAACAATGTTGAAATTGGCAATATTATCTATGCATTTCAGGCATGTTACAACATTAATGATGAATAAAAGGAAATACACAGGGACGTGCAATTTTTGCAATGGATTTGTATCTATATAAATTATTTCTTCAATGAAATCTACTTGTTGAAGTTTATAAACTACGGCACAAATGACTTATATGGTCATATAGAAATGCAATATAGATAAATATCATAATAGCTGTAATTATTTTTTTCTCTTATTGTCTGAGTTTATAAAATATTGAAAGAATAAAAAACTAAAAAGCATGCTTACTAATCGTACACTACCTATTAAGTATTAACATGCATCGTTCGTTGTTACATGATGTGTCATGACGGCATGTTAACGATTAATGCCAGTATATTTTACCGGCAATTACTGCATGTTTGTTTTTTAGCACGTGATAGTGTCAATGACCCAAGATATATGATGATGTCTTCACTAAAACGTAATCATTAATATCTAGTTATAATTACAAATGTACTTTTAGATTCATGGATTTGTAACAAGAGATTTTTTTTATTATTTAAATATTAATATAGAATTAATATTATTAATAAATTAATATTTTAAATTTATGAAAAATTAATGTATGTATATATGATATATTTTTAATGCTAATAAATTTATTATTTGACACGTCATACAAATTGACCATCAATAATAAATACCATTATGAAGGTCAACATTGATGTCTCGAATTTCAAAAACGATACAATTATTAAATGGCTGAAACATGACGAGCTCTTTCCGAAATAGCTAGGGAAGATAAAGAGACATTCATTACGTCGCGTGTAAAGAAGACTGTTTGCGAGCTTCAATTAATTAGTCTAGCGGCGCCGTGTCGATCATGCCGAACGTGGTTACTGCCCTGTCTTTATATATCCCAGGGTGTGTTTACGGCTGTCGCTATGGCGATGGCGAACCTAACGGTTATTACGCACTCGCCTATATAAAGTATATATACGAGTCCTTACAGTTTAACGTGATATCCTCGAATGATGGTAATTTTTTAAAAATTCAAATGTTTAAACCTATTCGCTAGAATGTCTATCTTGATACGAAAATGTAAACATTTAGAGACGGAAAACGAAAGAAACATAAATTTAATACAAATTAAATGTACACAAAAATGAAAAATGCTCTAATATGTGTTGTCGAAATATCGCGAAACATGCTTAAAGTATTCTAAAATAAAAATTTATTATTATATAGTATATATAATTATATGTAATTATATTATAAATTTATTATATAATAAATATAATTATTATATTATTATCCAATATTGTTATATAACAATTATATAATAATATAATATATAATAATAATATAAAAATTATATAATTTTAATTAAATTCAAGTATAATAGTCTGATTATGTTACAATCTATCTTCTAATATCTTCTTCTAATATCGATAACTGACTGGTCAGTTCAATTTCCTTGTTACAATAAAGAGAAGACTTTCAAATGCACAACACTGTGTATTAATTCAAGATTGTTTTGATTTAATTGGCTCAGAAGCCTCTGTGTACGGTTGAAGTTTCACGCCAGTCACACTAAGCTTCGAAAAATACATATATCAAGAATCACTTATATCCTTGAAATATATTAGGTGTTGGAATTAATTCGTAGCGTTTTTTAATGAAAGAATGTTATTTATTTCACATGAGCATTAAAAAATACATTAATGAAAGTACTTCCCATCACTTGTAAAACGCTACGAATTAATTCCAACACCTAATAATTAACCTTGACATACAGCGAAAAAATCTTATATACTTTTATTCATCCCTCTTCGAGTCTGCTATTTAAAATTTCTTGTTCTAAGACACTGGAAAAAAAACCGTTAAAGTGTTACTTTTCTAAAAAAGTATAAAGGAACTTTCTGGGGGATTTCTATAGATTTGTTAAAATATTTTACACTTGTTATGAGATAGGATCCTGTACAAAGTGTGCATCATCTTCCACTCGAATCTTTCACGCAGCTCCATATTAATATCCGAAGCATTATAAAACGCGATAAGTGAGGAAGGTAAATGGAAGCGATGCTAGAAAAAGACGGAAGCATGGAGCGTGTTTGATTCGCGGTGCATACAACGGTTTGCCCGGTTGAATGGCAATTGTTAAACTTCCTTTAGCGCAAACGTGTATAACGAGGTCAATTGGCTTTAAACGGCGGTATTATAGCATTACGTAACTTAGGGCCATTCCGAAGGGTATACCCACGCGACTGTGCCGTTGTCTTTCGTCCAGTTACAATCACCTGAGACAACCCGAATTATGGAAATTGTTATCAAAACTATAGAAAACGAATTGCTGAAGTTAAGTCAGGTCTTGCAATCTTTCGTTAAACATAAGTTGACTTGTATTTCTTTTGTTTCATGCGATTGCGCAACCAGTGACTATAATTGTTCTTTGACTTAAGAAATAGGAAACTTCTTATCTTCTTTTCTATAACAAATAATTCCTTCTTTTTTTTATACAAATGCAAAAAGTTTCAGATAATTGCTTCTTATTTTTCTTTGTATGAAAGGAACAATTTTTTAATAGTTTGAAAAAATAAGTGCTAATATAAAGATACAAAAATTTATGGTTTGGAAAATAAAAGTTGTTTTTTATAATTTTTGACGCGTTATATCTGAATCCACAAGCGAAAATGTTCTATCACATTAAAAGTTTTTGAAAGAAAATGTTATTAAAATTTCGCAAAAAAATAATTTTTTATCATTTTTAAATACATTTGTGTAGTTAGAAAACTTAATATATTTAAAGACTTGGAAAACTTGCTCAAAGTAAAAGCTTAAACATTAATTGCATCTTAAAAAATATTATTTAATTATATATAAATTTATCATAGGCATTATCGAACTTTTAGCGCTTTATTTTAGGAGTAAGCGTGAATAGAGTGACATAGAATTATATTTAAGCTCAGAGTAAACTGTTGTATATAATAGAAATGTTAACTAAGGATTTAATGTGTGAAAAAAAATAATTGTGATTTGCTGCAATTGTGTTTAATGCAATCCTATAAACGTATATCATCTTATACACATATATGTTTATCTTTAAAATAAAACGCGCTAAAGATTTGATGTCTGCGGTGAAAAGTTCATATTTCTAAATACACCATTCCAACTTTAATTTAAGGCTTCTGAGTAGTCATCACAACCATATTGAATCGTGACGTCAAAAACGAAATGACACATTAATTTTTATTACGTGTCATTTATAAATAAAGACAATTTGGATAAAACAAGAAATTGCTTTAAAACATTTGTAAAAATGGATGAAAATTATGCTTATCCTTCCTCATAGTCAGTAAATAACCGTAAAAAGTAATAAAAAGCACATGAAGTAATTTATTCAATGCGCATGCGTAGCTAATTTTCACTTACACGTGTCTTTTATCACTTTTTATGATTATTTACTGACTGTCAAGGGGGATAAGCAAGCATTCTCATCATTTTGTTTTTATTTATAAATAGCACGTAATAAAATCCAAATTGTTTTTATTTATAAATGGCACGTAATAAAAATTAATTAAATATCATTTCTCGCTTTGACGTCATGATTAAATATGGCTGTGGTGACTCAGGAGCCTTAAGACTTTTTCAAAGTTTCTATCACATTAGGTTTACTAGATACGAATTTTTATTAAAGATGGTAAAAACATTTTTTTTTTTTGAAAGCGTAATATGCTAAAACATTTTCGCAAATTTGAATTTGATGCGTCAAAAAATCTATGAATTGTTTTTCTTTTCCAGATTATAGCAACACAATTAAAATTTATATTTCTGAGATTTTTTGCGTTCACTAATCGCGTTTAAGCAACGTGTAATTTGGTCCAATATTTCTGTGAGGCTCGTATTGCATTATGGTAATGTAAGCTGAATTACTGAATAAGATTTTTGCTTATCAAGTTTCTGAGAACTACGAATCAGCCGTAACAAAACAAGATCATCGTTGCTACCTTAACATAATGATCATTGTACAGATTATGACTAATTGTGTTTCATAAACATTTCTTTTTAAATATAAGAAATATGAGCTTCTCAAGAAGTATAAAGTCAGTTACGTAAATAAGTTTTATTTTATTTTAACATGATTGAATTGTAAAAGATTTTATTTCGTTGAAAAAGATTTCGGAAGATGTTTTATTTTGCAAAACATAATTAAATTGTAGGAGATTGTATTGTTCTATATATTTAATCAAAAATATTAAATAAAGAAAGTTACAATTAATAGTCATGTAAAAAAAATATTTAGTATTTCTGAGTAAAAGTTAAATAGATATGAAGCATAATTTCGTAATATTTTATTTATCTTATTTTTTTGAATTTTCTGAATCTTATAAATTAGTATTGAGAGAGAGTTCTTTGTTAAGAATAGACAAAAATATACAATTATAAATATTTGATTTCTAAAGATGTAAAGATGTGCTTCCTTGTCTATTTGGATAAATGCAATACATTTTGCTTTATAATCGAGGTCAAGAAGTATTAAATGGACTACCATTGAGTTCCTACTTTTCATTATTATCATTAGAAGAGAGCTCGAAGACGTCTTTTCAATAGTCGAGTTCTATAACTAGGAACTAACCGATACTTTGCAGCTTATTTTCTAGGAATAACTTTGTTTCAAGAATATACATATTTGAAAATAACCAAAATATCAATTCTTTTCTCTCGCATGAATGCAAGAGATCCGGATTTGATTCTCGGTCGAGGCAATATTTTTTATAATAAGTTTATTACAGTTTTTTAAATTTGGGAAATTTGATGGGATTATTAATATTTCAGATTGATTGCGTTGAAAGTCCGACAATCATATCGGCACGCAATTATCATTTCTGAAATTAATTCATTTATATGAATATATATAATAGTTCAACATCTTAACATTCAGACCGTAGTATTAAAGCGTTTCGTATTTAAAGTAATGTATTTAACAAACGATCTTGTTTCCAATCTTATTGACTATCTGTCAATTCTTTTCTTAAAAAAAAAAATAGATTTTTTATTATATTTTGAGCTATATAAAATGATATTTTAATTTAGATATTAAAAAGAAATGTTAAAAATAAAGTGTTTAAAAATGTATAGTTTTCTCATATAAATGATCAAAATCCAACAAACACCAACTAACAGTAACATAATATCAATGTTACTGTTAGTTACTGTTTACTAGAAAGTGACTAATTGAAAAATAATTAAAAAATTATTTTAAAATTTTATTCGATCTGTATTCTTTATTTGTAGTTTTGATTTGAAATAGATAAAGAAAAAGAAGATAAATGAGTATAAAGGATATAAAATTGCACAGTATTAAACTTTTGAAATGTTCTTTTGTAAAATTGTTTTTTAATTCTTATGTACTTTTTTCTTGAAAAATACATTAAATTAACTTTTTTTTTCATATCTTTAAAAAAATGCAGAGGTATGGTTTGATCAATCGGTTTTAAAGAGTTACAATTTCATCAGAAATTGTAAATGGTAAAAGTTTTTTGTTTATACATAAGTGTGTATTAGTTTATTAAAAAAATGTAATTAAGATTGTTATATTTATGTATAAATATAATAAAAATTTAATTTAAATTCGGGAAAAAATGTTATATAAATGGATATATTTTACATATATAATTTATATATATAATTGTATA